CAGTCTTTAAACTTTCCGATCACACCTCGTATATCATTCTGTTCACCAGTCATGATCATCGTCACATCCCGCTTTAATCTCTGAAGTTGAAACAGCGTTGTTAAATAATGTAAGAACGGATAAACCATGTTTTGCAAGCAGCATGTGTTTTCGACTGCAATTTGTATTCGTTGTCTGTCCTCATCCGTGAATGGGTCTGATGATTATGGCCGTAGCAAACTCTTCATCTTGTCCAATTAGCCAACCGCGGAACGTTTCGAAACGCGCGGCTTAATCCCACAGTTCATTATCCATCCTGTCTGCGATGGTGCTTAGACGAACCGAGGCTCAGGGTTTGACGTAATTTAATGCCAGCATGTGTTTATAATTGGGACGCGGTATAAAGGTCGATTGTTTTTTTTTAAAGTTATTCTAGCCCTTTGATTTAAAGATAACACGAAACTGAATATTGGTCGAGTATTTGTACGTTTCCTGAAGTTTCGGCTCTGTGTGTGATGGTTGGGATCACAAAATCAGTTTACTACATACCATGTGCACTGTAAAGTTTGACAGACAGACCTAATAGATTTTACGTAATTCCTAGCACTTCCCTCCGAAATTCTACGTTCCTTTTTTTCTCGTTTATTTAGGTATTTTGTATATGTTGTAAGGATATTTAGTGTTTTACACACGATACTTAATTACATACGAGGTGCGATCGAAAGGTTTCCAGACTGCGCGTATAAAAACCCGTACACTTATCTCAGGTATTAAATTCATCCATCACCCTCGAAGTAGTTCCCCTGGGAGTGAACACAACGATCCCAGCGCCGCTGCCAAGCCTGGAAGCATCCCTAGAAATCTTTCTTTGTCAGCCTGTCAAGCACCATCTGCGATTCTGCCTGAATCTCTTCTATCGCCTCAAATCTCCTTCCCTTTAGCTGAATTTTCATCTTTGGGAAGAGGAGAAGTCACACGGAGCTTAGAAAGGAAGTTGGGGTCGGTTCTTGCAAGATCTTTGAGCTCCTGACAAACGAGAAGTCGATTCTGCTTCTGGTCCTCAGACAGGATGCGTCGCATGTGGAGTTCTACCTTTAGAATCAGCTGACAGGTCCCATAGCCTATCCCAACAATGTCGCACAAGTCGTTGATGGTACGACGTCGATCTTCGTGAATGGCCTGCCGAATCTTCGTAACATTTTCGGGCGTTGTGTTCGAAGATGGTCGTCCAGAACGCTCGTCATCATCGCCAGAGGTTCGGCCATTTTTAAAACGTGAATGCCTCACAAAAGTTTGTGCACGACCCATTGCGGACTCCCCACATGCTTGCTTTAGCATTTCATAGGTTTCCGTAGCCGTTTTGGCGA